TGTCATTTTGACAGTGTTGTCTATATGTGAAAAAAACAAATGAACTTATGTTTAGGGGTGCCCTAGATAGTGTCAAACTTCAAGGAAGGCGTCTGGAAAGCAAATCAAGTTTTTAGGGTTGCTTATAGACTCGCAATTGAAATTTGAAACGCACATTGATACTCTAACCAAAAAACAGCTACAGGCTGTTACATTGTCAGAACTATTTTTCAGGAGCTTGGTAAGGATGCGGCGAAAATTGTATACTTTTCGCTGCTAGAGTCATTGCTTTTTGGGGGTTTGCAACTCAGAGATCGGTTCAATCGCTGTTTGTTCTGCAAAAAAGAGCTGTCCGCTACTTGTGTGGTAGGAGATGCAGGGAATCGTGTCGACAATTATTTAGGCGGGAGAGGATATTGACGGTGCCTTGTATTTTTGTTTTGGACTCTGTGAGTTTTATTTATAAGAAGTTTTCTGGTTTTGTACAGAATAGCAGTTATAATCTGCGTCAAGTCAAACTATCCTTACCAATACCAACGTAGGTACACCTTAACAAAACACTGTTATCTATGAGATTATTAAAATGTTCCACCATCTGCCTGAGGAAATTAAGAATAGTGGTACTTATGAAAATTTTAGAAAGCTTGTAATGAACCATTTAGTCGCCAAGGCATACAGTATTGCGAATTTTATGAAAATTAAATGTGTCTCAATTGTTTTAACTTGTGTCAATCGGTGCCTACCAGTTTTTATTTTATTTTGTTTTATGTTTCAAAATGTTTGCCTATTCGTTATTGGATTTGAGGGACGGATCCTTATTTGTCAGCGTTTGTTTTCATTATTTGTTTTTACATTTTTTTAATATTTTAGTTATGCTTGTGTCATCTTCATTATTGAAAATTATTCTAATCCTAGACATAATCTAGCTTTAAGTATTTGCTTTGTCAATAATTTTTTTTTTCTTTTTGGTTTTCTGACAATAAAGCTTATTTTGATTCGATTTGAGATAGAGGCATTTTGGTACAAGAACGTAAAAAGTATAAAGTGGTAAATAAAGCGAATAGATGGTTCCAAAGCTATTCAGATAATGGGTGTGAAAAAGTAAAAGTACCTAGGGAAACCCCTTTCAGATGTAGTGCAAGCAAAATATGAGATGCCGCAAGAAACTGTGTTGGGTTGTTTACTACCTTACGTGTACTTATGGTACATTTCGTACACGAAATTTGACAGACAGCAATGAAAATTAAATGGCGAGCATTCGAAATAGTATCAAATTTCTTATGTGGAAATATTCGAAAATATGGGCTCTGTACATAAATGATAATATGGTTGGATGCTTGGATGGTGATGTTATTGTGAATTTGTTTTCTGATGATATGTTTTATCTGTAATAAGTGATTCTTACGAAAGCGTAGAACTGCCATGCTAATATTGAAAAATATTTTATTTACAATCATACATGTAATGTTGACTTTACTGACTTTTAAAAAGTTTGAAAATGTCACTTTTTTGACTTTTACTTTCGGCCCACGGGTCGAAAGTTTACTTTCGACCCGTGGGCCGAAAGTAAATGAAATTTTTTAAATTTATTGTATTTTTTGAGAGGTATTATATGTTTTAAAAATACAACATGGGGTAATGGAAGTCAATCGTGGTTGTTTTGTAACTTATATTATAATTCTTAGCATTTTTTCTGTTATTTAAAATTCTAATTTGAGAAGAAATGATGTTTGTTTGTTCCTCTGTGTTGTGGAATGCTTTATGCGGTATTTTTTGACATGAAACGCTCTTGTTAATAAAAATAGCCAAAAATAGCCTGTGAAGAAGACCAAATGCATGGTCGAAACGTCGGCATATTTTTTTAAGCAAGGGAGATTTATTTTTTATTTCTGAAGTCCTAAACCTATTATCTCTACGCTTTCGTTATATGCTATGATTATTTTTAAAATTTGGTATAAATTAATTTCAAGACTATCAAGACCAAGACCAAGACCAAGACTCAGCCAGTCTTGTCTTATTCTTGAAGCTTCAAGACCAAGACCAAGACCAAGACTGCATCTATTTTTCGAGACCAAGACCAAGACTGGCCAGTCTTGGTCTTGGTCTTGGTCTTGCGAAGCCCTAGGGTGATGCAAGAAAAAAAAAATTATATTACAAAGTTGTTTGATACTCTTAATATGCATTAGTTAAAAATATTTTTTAATATACAGGGTGCTCCGTTTATAGGGTATGCGACAGAGCTTTGTTAATTTTAATGGAACACCCTGCATGTGATTACATATTTGGATTCTACGTAAAATTCTGAGCAGATTTCATGTGATAAACCCTATGCCTAAGTTCAACTGTTTTGGAAATATTGACAGTTGAAAATAGACTTTTTGCAACTTTGACAGGCTGTAAAACCTAAACGGTTAATTTTAGACGAAAACCGATTTTACATTCCTATCTTAGATTTTTATAAATTATCATTTGACACCAATTTTGAATTCAATCCATGATTAAAAATTCCAATTAAATTTAATCTCCGGTTAAATTCAAAGTTGGTGTCAAATGATAGTTTATGAAAATCTAAGATAGGAATGTTAAATCGGTTTTCGTCTAAATTCAACCGTTTAGGTTTCACAGCCTGTCAAAGTTGCAAAAAGTCAATTTTCAACTGTCAATATTTCCAAAACAGTTGAACTTAGGTAAAGGGTATATTACATGAAATCTGCTCAGAATTTTACGTAGAATCCAAATATGCAATCACATACAGGGTGTTCTATTTGAAATAACAAAGTTCTGACGCATACCCTATTAACGAAGCACCCTGTATATTCAAAGATATTTTTAACTAATGCATATTAGAGCATCAAACAATTTTGTAATTTAAATTTTTTTTCTTGAATCGCCCCTCGCATCACCCTATAAAGAGATATCGTCCGATATCGCACTAAGTGGACACCCTGTATAATAAGTGTGGTAACTAGGTTATTACCGCACGCGAGAGAAATTTGCAAACGGAGCCGGTGAGACGAGGTTTGCATTCTCTAAGGACGGTAATAACCTAATTACCATAGGTATTAAATACAGTATTTTATCTACAACCGTGCGGTAACAAAATATTCGGAAGAAGTTTAAAAAATTATGAAAAAAAAAATCGCTTCTGTCACCCTTTGACAGTGGACATTGGACAAGTAGAATTTAGGTGATAGGTAGGTAATTTATCTCTGGTAGGTAATTCAAGCGTGCAGTAATAACATTACCGCACGTACTTACCGCATGCAAAATCGTGTAATATACCTTGGTTACCGCACGCTTGTAGATAAAATAGTATACAAACCTCAGTAGGAAGTTTTATTCCTGTCTCGAGATTATAGTTGACTTCGACGCTTTGCGCCTCAGTTAACTAACTAATCTCTCGACAGTAATGAAACACTTCCCACCTCACACAACACTTCCAAACTTACCTACCTATAATTTGCCTATAACAACCCGGTTAGTTTGGGTTACTTGCAATTTTAATCAGACATCACCAAACTCATGGATAATAGCCCAGTTAGTTTGCAGTTTTAAAAAGACATTACCAAATTTACCGATAATAACCCGGTTAGTTTGTTTTAGTTGGCTGTTTTAAGAAGACATTACACATTATCAAACTTACCGATAATTACTCGGTAAGTTTGTACTTTACAATTTTAATTAAACATTTCCAAACTTACCGATGATAACCCGGTTAGTATGGGTTATTTTGCAATTTTAGTTTGACATTACCAACAATAATAACAATAACCTGGTTAGTTTGGATAAGTTTGCAATTTTTATCAGTCCTCTATGTATGTTCAATTCAATTCAAAATACAAATTTCAATTTCTTTCGAACGCTGTTATTTCGAGAATAAACCTTTTCGAAGACGCTTATTTCAAATAACCTTTCTTTCAAAATTCAGTAATTTTGAAAATATTTATATTTTTCGAAAACGCTTATTTCGAAAATTAATATTTCGAAAATCAATAATTTGGAAAACATAATGGTATTGTTTGATTAAAATTGCAAACTAACCCTAAGTATCAACTTTTACAGAAAAAGTGTAAGTTTTCATAAAAATATTTTAATATTAGCATGGCAGTTCTACGCTTTCGTAGATTCTTCTCAGTATATTAGAAGAATAAATGCATTTGTTATGAGACCGGATAGTCTAGGGATTACTTGTTAGAAATACAAATGACCTCTTTTCTGATTGTCTTTTCATCTTATTCTTTTTAATACCAAATTTCTTCTGCCAGTTGATGTTCTTGCCCCTTAGTCTAGTTAAATTACCAATTTTTGATTCGCAATAAATTCTATACACACTTAATTATACTAATTCCAGTCCTTTTTAAACACATTTCAACAAAGCTGTCTTAAGGATGTTGGTGGTCAAGAGCCTTGTAACCTTTAAAATAATTGCTTTTCTATTATGGATTTTCATTGGATTATAGGCATTGTCATAACTATAATTAAAGCTGTTCTGGCGTTCAAGAAGTGCTTCTCATCTAATTAGCTTAACACAAGAAACCGAATGCTATAAAATGTTTGAAGCAATTATTTGAAGATTTTTGAACAGTTATTCGTCAGCTTTTCAATCATCATCTGCCACTGATCATCTAATCATTCTCTCTCTACTGTTAGTTTCAAAGAGATTTATTGTACGAGTCTTTGACTGGACTGGATGTTAATTTTTTTTCTTGAGGTAATAGAACGTTTTTGCTTTGATTTCAAAGTTCGGTTTTGGAGGTGGAATTTCTTAAGTTGAGAAATGTGTGCGTGGTAATATTTCAGTTAAGAAATTGCAACGAGAGCACGGCCATATTCTAAGAATCCAGTTGTTCACGGCTAGAATGCATTTATTCTAGGAATTCTATTGTATTTGAGAAAACAATTTCAATTTAAATACGAAATTGGTTGTATGTTAGTTAATTTTGTTCAATAAAAGTTGTTACTTTTTCTGAAGTGAGTTTTAGTGGACTTGGAATCCATGAGAATATCAACAACAAACTTACATCCGATGATTGAATAACATTGTCGCTAATAATCGAGGTTGTAGTTGTTGGAGAATATAAGTCACTATTCGATGGAGAGCATTCTGCGAAGGAATCCAACTCCTTTTTGATGTTTGCTACAGGTGTAAGCCCAGTATCTGTCATAATTGAAACCTGAAACAAAAATAAATTTTATAGGCATACCCACAAATCTTAAACGCCTTAAGTATAAGTATCAGTATCACATATTTATAGTTTTGTATATTTCAGCATACCCAGACTAGTGACATAAACTGAAGTAGTTCGTCGAAAACTAGATAAAAATGGGTATCAAATAAATCCATCTATTGGCTATTATAGTAGGTTTATCTACAAATTTGCACTATCAGCATGTGCTTACACGTTTCCTGGATTTAATGATTTGCTATAAGCATCTATTTATTTTTCTATCTTGAGATTTCATTATAGTACTCTTGAATTGTTTTTATTAAGAATTTTTGAATACACATTTTTGTTTTTTAGAAAACAGTAAAACTTTTTAAAAAATACAAAAACCATAAGCAATACATCCAAAAATGTAGGTGATTGTATTTTTTTTAATTCTCACAAGGTCCGTAAAAGGAAAATAGTACTGTTGTGTGTCTGTGGGAGGTCATCTAAAACTGCATGGATAACAAACAGGATATTGCTAGAGGAAACTCGGATTCATGGCTCCTTAATGACAAAATCGAAATAATATTGGGGAAAGGGCTTTTTGAAAAGATAGTCAGGAAGGCCAAGAATGGTCATACCTAATAACAATTGGAAATAATGAGAGAAATTATGAATAAAAGACACATAGTAGTATCGTATAGAAAAAAAATATTTAGTTTGGATATGTTAAAGAATACCTGAAACAGTATGAGAGAAAAGAGAATGCCTAGAACAAAAGATGGCTGAAGATTGAAAATCTGAAGGTCGTTATTAACCGAGAATTATATACTTTTGTCCAAATTATAAATTGTCTAATTTTTATATTGAAGCTTCAAACTTATGAAAGGGTTGATATTACAAGATATAACATTTTGCCAATACATGCTACGCATCTTGATTCTGCATCTGGGTGACGAGGCTGATCCTCTCAAATATGAAAATTATATAATTCTTGCAGAACTCTGCAATTCAAAGCATTTCAGAGTGCCCCGGCCGGTCCTGATTTATATCGTGTTTCCGTACGGCCATCCGGTGAAGTCAAGAAAAAAAAAAACACTTTTGGTTTATAAACGTAACCAGTTAGCCTTGACTGAGCAAAACGGTTGAGCGTCTTTTTTCGTTTATTTCTTTCACGCAGTTCAAGTGCAAGGCCAAATGTCTCGTGGTGCATTAATAATGCATCATCTGTAGCCGATATTTACATATTTGCTGCATGTGTTACAGACTTGGTGATATTTTAAAAGGCACGTGTACTATGTGATTATGTAATATAATATGTACGTGACGTGTAAAATATCATGATGCATAGGTACTTAATATGCTAATTTGACAATTTTAATTCAAGAACAGGATCCATTGTTAACTTTTAACACACTTATTTGAAGCAATTTAAGGTATAGCAGTAACTTGAAATTGCAACTATAGGTACTGAGTACTGGATACAGCTACATAAATAAATAAAAATCCTTATATTTCCAACTCGCTAAAGGCACAGGAGAAATGCAATAAACAATGGGCTTTTCCACTTGAATTTGAATACGTAATTTAAGCATTAAATCTCAAACGGGGACTATTTTATACCTATTTGCCAAAAAAAAATATATCTACGAGCTTGCATGAGTTTTCTACATGCACTTCAAACTGGAAAAACTTAAAATCCTTGAAATGCCGCAGACGATGACGTATAAGCATTATACCAATCAAATTTTAGAAGAGTGTTCTAGCGACAAAACACAAACAGCTGTTCCGGTTGCCGCTGGGGAAAGTGACGTAGTGAGGATGAAGTCCGTGTTTTTATTTAGAGTTTTCTTTTTTATTTATTTTCTCAAAATTCACTCAAAAGTGAAAAATTGTGAAAGAGCTCAGTCTTGAAAACAAGCATGATGAAAATATTACTCAAAAATACATTGAAGACTGTTCTAGTTAACGTCGCAAAGAGCGGAAATGCGATTGAAATTGAGGCAGATGCTGGATCTAGCGTGATAGCGAGTTGATTACTACGGTCATAGGAAATTACATATTTACATTGTGAATACTTGATAAATTTTGTCACCCGGCACCCTGTTATGCGCAAAACACGATTGAAAAGTAAATGATAAAATTTGAGGGAATGAGACAGAGAATGGGTAACTAAAACAAAAAAAAATAAAAAGAGAGGGTTGGTTGGTGGCTGAAATCTAGAAACGGGACTTCGTGTGAAGGGTTGCCGACTAGCTTCCAATGCGGAGAGGAGTGTGGATCAATTAAATAATTAAAAATAGAGCGCCACCTGCTTTTCCCTGCAGTACACGAAGTCAACCGATATAACGAAAGCAGGAAACTTCTACGGACCTATAGCCGCACAAAATGAAATATAAAAGTAAACAAGAAGGAAGGCAGAAGTGAAACGCTTTGCTACAATCAGGTACGGGTTTTCAATTAGAACCAGAACAGGTTTGACTCTAGAGCAGATTCGGAGTGGGTTTTCCGAACGCCCTGGAACACTGAAAATTATTAACACTAGAACCACAACAAGAACAAAATAAATCGACTAGGAGTACCGCACCTTATGTTCTAAAAATAATATTTACAATAAATTAACTCAACTTGAGTCCCTAAATAAAGAAATAAATAGTATTGTATAACACTTATAACAGCAATTATACCTGAAATGTGAATTATTAAACAAGCTTGCTAAATGCAGTACCTTCGTAAATGGCCATTTAACCCCAGTGTACAAGTATTTTCCTGTATTCAGTGCAGCATGTATTTATGGGATATTAGAGAGATATAGATCATTAATTATTAAAGTTGAAGTAACAATACGTAACCTGAAAGGCGAATGTAATATTATGGAATCATATAGGTAGTATAAATACTTAAAATTGAAGTACCTAACAATACATAAACTGATTGGCAAGTTTCATAATATACTAGAGGTAATATACAGTGTGTCCCGCTTAAGGACTGACCACCCTTCTAAAATTTTTATTTTTCAACCGATTCAATTCATTTTTTTTTTGTCTCATGTCTACTCGAATTTGGCACTTATTTGGCTCCTAATTTTATCTCTGCGGCTGTACTGCTGTACAGGGTGTCCACATTTATAGGCTTAAATATCAATATTAGGGATTTTTTTAGAAAAAATCTGATAGCAGATTCTTGTTTAGAATGGTCTATAAATGTGGACACCCTGTACACCAGTACAGCCGCAGAAATAAAATTATGAGCCAAATAAGTGCGAATTCGATTAGATATTAGACAAAAAAAAATGAATTGAATCGGTTGAAAAATAAAAATTTTAGAAGGGTGGTCAGTCCTTAAGCGGGACACACTGTAGATAATTAATTAAAATTGAAATAAAACATAATGTGAAGGGTAATTTAATATTGTAGTAGAACAGCCTCGTTGTGGTGATTTACTCCAACAAGGGGTTGGTACGGTTTGATAGGCTCCAGATATTAAGACAATACAACACACTTATCAAACCTGAGTAGTCCCTAATCTCTTGAGGAATACCTGAAGGACTGGATTGATATCTTCCAGTGTTTCCGATAGCCTGGGACTGGATCAGGGCCGCGACAAGAAGCAATTGGCCCTGGGCACTGTAGTTCAGTAACCAGAAGTCACTAAAGCTTCCAATTGTCTAGCGGAGGTTGAAGACAGGAGGTACGACTTGAAATATACAGTAAGCTTAACGTTTAACTCTCTACTGAAAGTTAAGGACTAGTGACGAGTAAAAGGTAAAGTCTAAAGGCCTGAAACAAATGGACTTTATAAGATTGGGCGTGAAGCGATAGGTAGGTATGTCCAATATTCGGAATTCAACCATATAATTAACAGAAAACTATGCTTTTACATAGGCAATAGAGAAACAGAGAAGACTAATAAGAAAAACCACTTACCAAAATACTTTGGCCTTTAGGAACAAACAATTGATCACGTTGCTATTTTTCGGCTCACAAAGAAATCCACGCAAGGCGCTTTGGTGCTAAAATAATGGATTAGCCACCCTAAATTTATGAGCGAAAACTGGACAACTCAGAAAATCGGTAAAATGTGCCTGAGGAATTTTCCCGAACACTTCATCGTGGAAAGTCCTTGACCTGAATGACCTCTGCTTGTCCCTTCAATGTCCTTTAAAAAGGTTCTGTCAAAACTCCAAGGTGAAAGGTTCTGGGGAATTTTGATGGTAGTTGGGGCATGGGACTTATTTAAATTAAGTTAGTACCGGTCATTGACCTTATTTGGAGCGCTGTCAATCTGGTCAATCTAATCGGATCAGACAATCAGCTGTTCCAATGTAAATATTGTGATTTTATTTATTAATAAATTAATTGACTATTTCAACCCTACTAAAAGGAAATTAATTCCATTATTCAACCTCTAACTCGATGATTCTGGGAAGAATGAAAAGTTTGATGAAAAGTGTGGCCACAACTATTGGAAAGAAAACAGTGGCTTGACGAAGGTATGCTTTTCGGTGAGGCGAATACGCTTATTTCCTTTTATTTTGGCCCAGGAAAAATCATCTCGTAACAACCCACAAAGAACACCCCAGCCTATCCTCACTGGTAAATTTTTGAACTTAACGCTTAAAATATTGTGGGAAAAACAAAACATGCCACACACCTAATTATACTCTAAATTGTGAAATTTTTAATTGAGTAAGATAAACTATCGCATGTTTACTTGATAATTATTTTTAAAAAAATTAACATGTTGATTAATGTGTTATAAATACATAGTTGAAGTTATAATACACATAAAACTATAGTATTTCTCCAAAATAAGGATCCACATATAATACATTTTTCATACATTCTCTTTTATTTTGCGTCAAGCTTGTAGGCACAGAGGTCAATTTCAGATAAACTATTGACGAAACTTATTATTTTAGTTACTTTAACTAGGTACAAGGTTTGGAAAAATTTTAGTGGAGAAATCTGAGTGGAAAAATTATGGAAAATAATAAGCATAAATAAGTAAAATATTTTGTTAAT